ATCCAGACAATCTGGGCAGTTTTGTTGGTACCACTGGAAGTTTGGTGTCAACTCAACCAAGTGCATGCAACCATGCGCCTGGCCTAGGCATAATTCTAAGACAGCGGGAAACGAGTAACCCCTCCCCAGGTCGCGACGACTGAGGAGGGGAGCCTAAACAGTCGCTTGTTTTATGCTAGAGACAGAAACTCTGGCTTGAATTTCTTGGTGGATACTGGCGCTGCTCTTAGCATCATTCCTCAAAATAAAACTGAGATTAGTCGAGAAACATCATCAATTACACTTCAAGCTGCAAATAAAACTAAAATTGCGACATTTGGGCAGAAAACTTTAACCCTAGATTTGGGGTTCAGGAGGCAATTCCCTTGGGTTTTCACGGTAGCCGACTTAGATCTGGCAATACTGGGGATGGACTTTCTACAGAGATACGAATTTCCAGTTGACACCAAGAAACGGCGATTAACACTAAAAAAAACTTCGTATTACACAAAAGGCAAAGAAAGTCACATCAGCTCTCTTAACTTGATTCGAACTCCCCCAGTAACAATAGCGAAATTCCAAGATATACTCGCGGAATTTCCAAACTTAACTAAACCAAACCCACAGCCTTCTAAAGACAAACTAAAAGTGAGTCACAATATCAAAACTGAAGGTGCACCGGTGTTTGCAAAACCCAGGAGACTAGCACCAGATAAGCTCAAAATCGCCAGGGTCGAGTTTGATTATATGCTACAATTGGGTATTATCCGTCCCTCTGATAGTCAATGGGCATCCCCTTTGCATATGGTCCCAAAGAAGAATGAAGGTGACTGGCGGCCGCGCGGGGATTACAGAGCCCTAAACCGTCAAACCGTACCAGATAGGTACCCAATACCTCATATCCAAGATTTCACAAACGGTTTACAGGGTATGAACATATTCACTAAAATTGACTTGGTCAGGGCATATCACAATATCCTAGTGGCTTATGAAGATATCCCCAAGACAGCTATTACAACACCCTTTGGCCTATTCGAGTTTGTACGCATGCCATTCGGCCTGAGAAATGCGGCACAGACATTTCAAAGATTCATAGACAACCTACTTCGAGATATGCCATTTGCGCAGGGGTATATAAACGACTTGTTAATTGCCAGCCCCGTATTGCAGTCACACGAACAGCATGTACAAGCAGTGTTGAAAAAACTGGATGAACATAGAATAAACATACATCAAATTAAGTGTGTTTTCGGTGTTCAAACTTTAGAATTTCTCGGTCACACAATAAGCCCAGAAGGAATTAAACCGATCAAAAAAGAAGTAGACACTATCAAACAATACCCCATACATAGTTCTCTAACACAACTGAGAAGTTTTCTAGATCTAATTAACTTTTATCGCAGATTCATACCAGGTTGTGCACAATTAATGCAACCTTTGACAGATTCACTTAAAGGAAAACCAGAAGAATTCAAACTGTCTTCTGACGCTGTCGAAGCTATTAAACAGCTTAAAGATAAATTAGCTCAAGCAACTACGTTGATGTATCCAAATTCTCTTTCCCCACTTGCTTTGATGGTGGATGCGTCAGATAAAGCAGTAAGCGGTACCCTTAACCAACTGGTTAAAAACGCCTGGAAACCAATTGCTTCCTTCTCAAAAAGACTCGCTCCATCAGAGACAAGGTATTCTACCTTCAGGCGAAAACTTCTTGCAATCTACCTAACCAATAAACACTTCCGACACATGTTAGAAGGCAGGGAATTTATAGTATTTACGGATCACAAACCACTCACAAATGCACTAAAAGCGAGAGCTGACAAATACTCACCTCGAGAAGTTCGACACCTGGACTATATATCACAGTTCGCAAGCGATATCCGACATGTCAAAGGTCAGGACAATCAGGCGGCAGATGCTTTATCTAGGCTAGAAATGAACGTGCTACAGCAGTCTACAGTAAACTTCGGGACGTTGAGAAATGAACAAGAGCAGGATCTAGAATTACGAAACCTGCTTAAAACAAACAATTCAACTCTTAATTTAAAACAGTTCCCATCACCTGTCGATGGTATCCTAATTTTCTGTGACACGACCAAGGCAACGCCGCGACCTTTCGTTCCCAAAAATATGCGAAAGTTGATATTTAATAACTTTCATTCTTTGTCTCATCCTGGCGCAAAAGCTTCAACTAAACTAATCAATGCCAGATATATATGGCCGAATTTACAGAAGGATGTACACAAATGGGTTTGAGAGTGTTCAGCATGCTTTTTAGTGTTATCATGTAACCCATCTTTATTGGCCATATTCAGATTTTTTTTTAATTTCTGACATTTAAGAATCAATAACCGTGAAGATAAAGTACAGTGAGTTACTGGAAGGTTACTATGTTAGCCGCGTTGATTCCACATACCTAATTTTAAACACAACTTATAAAGGAACTATTAAGTAATCATAACATTGAACTGACCATATGACTATCGTGGCAATGTTAACGTTGAAACAATTATTATTAGTGTTCCATACAAAATCCTGCAACTTAACACTAGCGTTATAAAAAAGACATGTTATGTCAATAGCTTATATATATACTTTTTTTCGTTGGTTTAATTATAACGTAAAATGGAAATCTACCAAACTTGTAGTTTTTTTTCTATAGTATTATTATTAATACAAACAAAGAACTTGTACTGTTCCAATATGGCACTTTGATATATCAATCCGTTCTCTTGTTATCTTTCTCTCATATCTGAGCAACTTATGGCCAACAAACATCGTTCTGAAGGGGGTTTTGGTGAACAAAAGCGCGGGCCCCACGCACTCGAAATTCTGCCCTCCTGAATGCTGGACCGTGTGCTTAGACATTAGACCACACTGCAATTTTTTTCCTTTTACCGACTAATCATTAATAATACTAATGAGTGATAAGACTTACACACTTCTAAGGTGCAGACAAACTCGTTACTTGGATGAATTGACGAAATATTGCTTAAATATATCATACGTACTTAGATCAAACCAGAAAAGAGTATTTGACACAACTGTACTTGATCCTTATAATCTGCACAATTTGTTTTTTCTCACTTAACCGTATATTCTTTTCCGTTTTGTGGAGTACAATTATGCACCCTTGGTTACGTACCTGGTTATAAAAGGCGGTCGTCATAGGCCCGAGGTCATACATTTGATCGGGTTTGACAATGAGTCCAACTTCTAGCAAGTTTACACTTTTACATATATGCATTATAAAAAAGTATTTTTTTTGTTTTCATACCTTTTCGTACACAAGATGGCTACACTATGTGCATTTCCTTCCAGAATACCAATCCTTTCTGGAGGCCAATCACTTACCTGGAACCGAACAATTATCAATTATATTTATGTATTTCCATTTTGTATCTTATTATTTTATGCAGGCAGGTTTGCTTGATTTTCAACATTACCTTTGAAGTAGATTCTTCTTTACTTTTTGCTTGAGGGCGACTTAAGAGGCAGGTGAGTAAACACCTGATAGCCGGTCTGAGCATGGAAAAATCGTACCTCACCAAAATGGTGTTGGGTAGCCCGCTCGCGGCACTTCCTCAGATATCCTTATTCCACACTCTCACACTTTCTCTTGAAAGCATGCAGCAAACCGTCAGCGATAGTTGTAGAAGAAATCATATGCTACAAAATAAGATGACAAGCTAGTAAATGAAGAGACACCCATGAACTATCATTGACAGCTGACAGCGTTAGTTGCCACTGACTGTAAGTCAAACAGTGAGCGAGTTGATAATTTTCCCTTGGGATGAGAAATAGAACTAAGATGTTTTTGATAGATAGGTTAATCGAACCGACGTTCCTACGGAAGTCGATTCCAGGGGGAAGCTAATGTAACAGCATAGGTTGGTTGGTTAAGAGTTGACCCCAAACAACCAAGCATATGCCAAAACAGTATTGTTCAAATATTCATTCACTTCCTTATTTTGTATAGGCATTATATTCCCTATTATCTTATATTGAATGTTGAAAGCCTTTGTTTGTCTGAACAGATAATCCCACGCTCCACTGTGACTGCGCTAAGATCGAAATAAAGACCTATTCACTACTTGTCTGGTTTCTTCTACCAATAGCACGAGGGTTACCTATAGGCACGAAAAGACTACTTATCAATTTAGTAAATAACACAATGTTAGGTATGTATGTCAAAAGAAATCAATGAATTTTTGACTTACCATTGTTGTCGATGTTAACATTGGGGTCGGTAAATTAGTTCTATACAAATCCACTGTTTTATATAATGAATCGATTGAACCAAAATGTCTCTTACTACTATCATTTTATTATTTTTATTATAGTAGTAGTAGAAGTAGAAATGTTGATTGTGGAAGTAGTAGTAGTAGTACAAATATTGGTACTAACCGTCGTAACATCTATTATAGAATTATTATTATTATTCATTGAATTAGTTTCATTTGATGATACAGTTTATGATGTGATCAAGTATAATGAACTATACTTATCAGATTTTCGACTATTTATTGAATGTTCTGACACTTTAGAAAAATCAGAATCATCAGCGAATACTAATGAACTAATTGCTGAACTTGTTCCACTGTGGAATGCACGTTGTTGATCACATTCTAAGAAGAAAATGCAATTATGAACAGAAATCAATAACAAATGACAATCATGAAAGTTGACACAATACTAGACTGCGTGTAGTGAACGAAGAATTCAGGTGGAGCAGACCAATTTATTGTTAAATGCGAAATTGGAGTGTGCCTTCTTATAACTTGAAAACCATACATAAAGTAAAGTACTTGCACATCTTCCCTTAGTTGTCTTCCTTATGATTTACGATTGTTTTAATTTTACTGCTATTACAATTGCCCTCTGTTTACATTCCTGTTTGCTTCAATTCGATCTTCTCAATCTTCTGCTGCCAGGCATTACATATCTGATTGGTGTTACATACTGCCACAAGAATTCTATTTGACTGGACAATTTAATTCTCACCAACATCAATTTACGAGTTATTCAAGATCATCATCATCATCATCATCATCATCATCATCATCATCATCATCATCATCATCATCATCATCATCATCATCATCATCATCATCATCATCATCATCATCATCATCATCATCATCATCATCATCATCATCATCATCATCATCATCATCATCATCATCATCATCATCATCATCATCATCATCATCATCATCATCATCATCATCATCATCATCATCATCATCATCATCATCATCATCATCATCATCATCATCATCATCATCATCATCATCATCATCATCATCATCATCATCATCATCATCATCATCATCATCATCATCATCATCATCATCATCATCATCATCATCATCATCATCATCATCATCATCATCATCATCATCATCATCATCATCATCATCATCATCATCATCATCATCATCATCATCATCATCATCATCATCATCATCATCATCATCATCATCATCATCATCATCATCATCATCATCATCATCATCATCATCATCATCATCATCGGTGATAATAAGAATAAAGGATACTTTCATTGGAACAACTAAACGGTTTCCTTGTATACACTAGCAAAATTGTTATATCATGAAATTTGTTGTTCATACGGATATTGAAAGTTGATCAATTGAATGTTTTTTTCTAATAATGTACCTAAATTGATAAGTTATGGATTAAACTAAGTAGATAACTACAGCTACATTAATACCGTTTTGTATAGTTTGTTTGAATCTTCTCATTGATGTTGAGGATTGTGATTGATCCATCTGTCTTATTGTCATATGTTCATCGTCTCTGTGAGGATAACCTCAATAGAGATGGATGGTGGCTGGTAATGCAAACCAGGACACACGTTCCGTCCGTTCATGTCACTCGTCAGATGAATGTAACAATTACACAATAATATGCTGCATATTTCTATCAACCTCAATTAGTTTAACCTCTATATATATAATTTGTGTTTACTGAATAATTTAATAATAATCACTTTAATTCTATAATCTATCTAAGTAGAACACACGATTGTATATTGGAATATTCGGTAAAATGTGAATCAATCAAATAGTCAAAATTCCTAAGGTTTATTATCTACCATAGATGTGCTTAAACACTTAGGAAAACAAACCAAATATATGAGATGGTTATTGGAGTAAGTCGACAGTGAACCCTGGGCTCAGTCTCTGTGCTATCTGGGGACTCGTCAGCAAGATGTACCTGCAATCTCCACGGAACTGATGCTTTCTGACCGACTCGATGCCATGTCAACCAGCTTCATAGGCACAGACGTAAACACTGGTCTGTCCAGACCGTAACTGATCTTATTCTTCCAGGAATGAGATGTATTTACAATTGATTAATCACTAGTTGGTCAGTGATAGTATTTAATGTTATTTGTATTTATTTTGTCAATTTTTTCACTTTATGTACATCTGTCATTAAATGACTGTACGTGTTGTTTAAGTGAATGACCTTGGACACACATTCTGTTGTATAACTTACATAGCGTGACATACTGTGGATTGCTAACAAATACATAGCTACACACGTATCCCTCGTTCTATTTCCATTTGTGATTGATCTAATTGAAACCAAAATCAAGTATTACTACATTTGTAGATTGTGAGTGGGAATATTTCATACCTTACATTGGATTACACTACAACCTGGTTGGAATTACGAAGCATTTATAATTGTGGATTTTCAGTACAAGACCAAATCTGTACACGCATCAATTTGGTGAACTTAAGTAAGGTCCCAATTTTCTATTACATTTGTAACAGTTAACTTATATATATAATAACAATATTATTGATCTTTAATAACTTGGTTGATACTTTTTACGTTAATACATCGTCTGGTCCACTACATTTGTTTGGTGAGTCCTGAATCTAGTATAGACGTATACTGTTCATATTTGTTTTACTTGGTACAGTCGTTCATTTTGTTTTTCACACCATGCACTCTCCCGGTAAACTTATTGATATAGGTAGCCCACCAACCAACCAGTCAGAAGGTAATGTTTTAAGTAGAGAAGATATGAGTCACGCACTCAACATTCAGCAACAGATAACAGAGTTAACACTGCAGTTAGCATCAATTCAGGCGACTATTGCAACGATTCATTCTCGACCTGCTGGATCTACTTCCAGAAGACGGTCAGTGTCCAGACAACGCTTTAGATCACCCAAGCAGGAAGCTGGCACTTGTTGGTATCATTTGAATTATGGTGAGAAAGCACGTACTTGCACTAAACCTCGCAACTCGACCTAATGCGAGCATATCACCAAATTCCGATGGAACCGGTAGACAATGAAAAAACAGCCATAATAACATTTTTTGGCTTGTTTGAGTTTCTAGGGATGCCAATCGGACTGAAAAACGCTGCTCAGACATTATAACGCTTCATGGATGACGTGACAAGAGGCCTAGATTTTGTGTTCTCCTACATAGACGAAAATTTGATTGCAAGCTCATCTTTAGAAGAGCACAGTCAACATTTCCAAATCCTCTTTGATAGTTTAAGAAACATGGCGTCGTCATCAATCCTCCTCCTTCTCCCCCATTATCATCATCATCCTCATCATCAAATCCGGTCTTACCCAGTGCAGATCGAATTCCATCTTTCACACCGGCCATTAAACACTGATAAAGTGAATTATTTGGGTTTTGTCAAAATTATATAATTCATTCTAATTTTACAATCTGACTAATGGTTGTCATTCAATGATTTCAACGAAGTTTAATTTACATGGATGTATTCCAGTATACACATTTACCATCAATCTAAATGAAGTACATGTCAGCAGGTGGTCAAGAAGAAAGAAAGAAAGAGGACGAGAACAGAGAATCATTGTTGCGGAATTAAAGGAACTGTTCAATCTGAGATGATTCATTGACATATCACAAATTAGGTATTTACAGTATGGTTTTGAAATATTAATGAGCTGTGTAATTTTTTGTTCAAATATATTCAACAGTTCAAATTTGTGTACTCGTTCATAGAAACAATAATTCCGATCACACGAGGAGTATTAGTTACGTCAAGACTGAGAGTACATTTTAATGACCTTTATCAACCACCATAAAACCTAAATTCACGGTTCCTTCCAACAGCCTTCAAACAACGAACATTGTCCGAAATATCTCCTCGTTGAAATTATCTGAAAATATGAATTTGAAATTTTCGAGACATGACATACTTGAAATGCTTTATAAATATTCAACTACGAATGCTTCCTTAGAAAAAATTCTATTTCAATTCTGTTGGAAAATGAAGACAAATTTCAATACGATATTATATGTGAAGATGTATTGGAACTCACATGAAATTTGATAACTTCCACTTAACGATGATTACTTACTTACTTACGCTTTTTTTCCTCAACCGGGAAATGCCCAAAGACCCGCATTCTCCAACACAGTCTGACCTTAGCTTTTCTTTATATTTTGGTCAAATTTTTGTTCATTCTTGTGTGTTATTTGGTCTACCTCTTCTCCTTTGGCCTTGAAGAGTTCAAGTGAAGGTTTGCATTGTCACGCAATTGTATGCTTTCCTCAATGTGTGTATTATTCACTTCCGTCGCTTATTTCATCGTTGGAATCTGGTTTTTTTTCTCCCATAGTAGGTTGTTACTGATCAACAGATTCGAAGTATTTTGCGTGGACAACTCTTAATAAATACTTGTATCTTCTGGATGATGGATTTCGTAGTTCTCCAGGTCTTCGCACCACACAGTATAATTGTTTTGACATTTGTGTTGAAAATTCTGACTTTGGTGTTGGCTGACAATAGTTTTCAGTTTCAGATGTTCAACGGTTGTAAATATGCAGCTCCTCTTCAATTATTGGTGGACTAAAATTGATTTTAATGTTCGTCTGCGCTGCCTGATATCGGGCGAGTTCAGTGAATCTGGTCAGTTCAAGAGTTCCCCGAAATGCCCTACCCACCTGTTTCACTGTTCCACAATGTCGGTGAAAACTTTACTTTCTTCGCTTTCCTTTGACTGTTCTGGTTTACGATAATTTCTAGCAGGCTTCTTAGTTTTATCATGAAATCAACTCATGTTTCATTCTCCTGAAGCCTTCCCCGCCGTCATTGAAAAATCTTCTACACAATTTCGTTTGTAGACTCGCAGACTCCTCTTTACTTACTTCTTTGCTTCTGTGTATTCAGCTTGTGCCTTGGGTTTCTCTGCTCTTGTACGACTGATATTGATTGCTGCCTCCTTGTTCCTTTTTTCTTGAATCCTTCTCAGTGTATCAACAGTGATCCATTCCTTGTGATGGTGCTCCTCGTGGCCAGGAACCTTGTGACATAATAAAGTGATTGCCTCCTTCACCCCTTTTCAGTTGTTTTTTCAGGCTGATCCCTCTCTATTGAGAAGAACGTGAAAGGCTCGGGACCTATTGCTGAGGAATATCTTGAATTCGTTAAGTTTGTCGGTATCTCGAAGAAAGGTCGCATTAATCTTTTGTGATGTTGTCCGCTTCGACTTACAGTGCTTCTTGGGATTAGTTCAAACATACTTAGATTTCTTGGTATCCAACTTCTAAAAATAACCGAAGCTCTTACCACCCATGAACTCAAGCCAGAACTATGCGTACAAAAGGGGTACATCTGTCATTATCGTTGCCTTGGCCTTAATTATTATTGTGTTATCATTATAATTATTACTGCATTCCCTTTATGTCTCAAATTCCTATTAATTCATTCATAAATGCTCATTTTATCACTTTATTTATTTATACACCTCTATGACCTTGAATGACCATTCATTATTGTACCAAAAACATTTAAATCACTTCAGTCACCTTAATACATTTAGTCCTAATTCGTCACTAGCTTACTAAATTAACGTCTATTGTTAGTATTATTCGTTTGATGTAATGTAGTAGTGTAATCTTTCTCTAATGTCATCTTGGTTATTCGTGTTCACATTTACCCATGGAATTAGAACTTTAACGAAACATTTCATATGTATACGACCGAACAGGTTGATAATAAACTCGTTGTAAAGGAGCAGATGGGCTCTTATCGACGTGATCCGATGTCATCCGGCCTCATAGTCATAGACGTAACCAGTGAGCGATTCAGACTATGACTAAAATACTCTTTGAAAACGGAGATGCCTCAGTAATTGGTGCATCACTGGTTGATAAGTGATCAATCTTAAGTTGATCAGGTCCTTCTTGCTGCGGATCGAATTCTATCTATGACATTGATCAATCAACATCTTTCTATTTTCGGTGACTTCGTTGAGTTATCTAACATTTCTCAATTTTATTACAGACTAATGTGTGCAATTGAATGAGCTAACTAAATTTCAGGTCACAAACAGAATGATCTGCAAATAAATCAGTTGATTGATGTTTCAATGAATAGTTGAGTTTGAATAGGACAAGAAGAGCAAACTTGACATAGTAGAACGAACGTGGAAACTAGATGATAGTATGAGAAAACGACCACAAAACTCAATTGAAGTTCGATGTTGAATGGTTACATTGTTTATTCATAGCTGAAGCAATACCTTCTGTGAAT